GAACCCATCTGGTGATAACTTTTCTTCTATAATCTCTTTCTTTTGTGTTATTACTGAAAATGAGTTTGTTTCACTTGTTTTACTTGTATGGCTAAATTCTTTAGTTTTTGATTGATGGTGTAAATAGAATATGGATGACTAATGAATTCTCTGCAGCAATAATTTAATTGTATTTTTAATATATCACGTCTTCATTTAACGCACATAGTGATCATATGTATAGTTAGTATCATGTGTAATGTGGAGTTTATGAATAAAAAAGCTGGCATAATAAGGTATATTTGATTGGTATATGCAAGCATAGGCATAGTGCTTGACCTATACGAAATTTATAGAGATAAATTGTAATGAAGGGGTTTTAACAGTACATGATTAACTTACTCTTCTAAGATTTGATAGGGTGAGACACTATGGGAATTTAGAATGGTATTGAGGTTGGAAAGGTTTATATGTCCTTTATCTTCATGCTTGAATAAGCAATCAATAATGCATATGCTATGAATAACATCAATTTAAAAGAGAATCATTAGGAAACATATTATATTTATATTCCATCATTCCCAAACATTTTATCCAAATAGTGTTTCAATTAAAATTATTATTGTATTTTAACTAAGTGATTGAATCTCCACCAAAACTTATTTTTATTGAGTAGAATAATTAATGTTATTGTAGTAGAAAATACTAGTATTTGCAAGTAAATATTATTCCTTGTGGGATCGATATTCTACTCCATCACTATATTACTTGATTTGGGATGCATACTTGTATATATTAAGTGAAATTTTTTAATAATTTTTATAGCAAAGAAACCTATGCATTGTTTAGGATTGATAGAGTCCTTAATCATTTTCATAATTCCTTAGGTGACTCTACTACCCCCATCAAATTTTTGGCGCCTTTATTAGAAAAGATTTATTTTATTTATAATTTTACTATATTTTTAAATCAATAGCATAATAAGTCCTAATATATTCTTTTAATTTATTTTACTGATTGCATAATTGTGGTTGCATGCTTAGAAGCCATAGAAGGGAAATATATAAAAAATCGAGAGAACCCTTTCTAAAATTAGAACCAACAAAATGATTTTGAAATGGCTGACCCTAATAAAGACATAAATTATTCTAGAACTCTTAAAGATTTTGCAAACCCTATGGTAGTTGGAATTCATTAAAGCATAAATAGACCTTCCATGCTAGCTAATAGTTTTGGATTAAAATGTTCAATCATTTTGATTGTGTAGAGTTCTCAATTTGGGAGAACTCCAATTGATGATCCTAACATATATTTAACAAATTTATTAAAGATTTGTGTAATATTTAAGTATAATATTATTAGTCATGATGTTATTAGACTTAGATTGTTTCCATTTTTAAGAGACAAGGACAAACTCTGGTTAAATTATTTACCGCCAAAATCTATTAATACATGGAATGAGTTGGCCCACAAATTTTTTGGGAAGTATTTCTCTCCTTTTAAGAGTTCCAAACTTTGAAATAATATTACTTCTTTTACTCGGTTAGAGGGAGAATCTATTTATGAGAGTTGGGAGAGAATTAAGGAGATGCTTAGAAAGTGTCTTCACCATACCATACTTGATCAGTTGATAATTTAAAATTTTTAAAAGGATTGGTAGGATTCATTATATCCATAATTGAGGTTGTAGTTAGAGATTTTCTTGTGTCAAAACCTTTTGAGGATGCTTATGAATTAATTGAAGAAATGATAAAAAAAAATTTTAGTGCCTTATTGATAGGTTGAATCCTAAGAGAGTGGTAGGAGTCTATGAAAATCATTCTTTATTCATTTTGACTGCACAAGTTGCATTAATATCAAAGAGGTTGAGCACTTTAGGCCTAATTTCAGATTCATCTTTGCATTTGGAAGATAGAAGCTCAATGGATGAGAATGATATCCAAGGGATTAAAAATATAAATTTGATTGAAAGACAAAATAATCTCTATTCAAATACATCTAACCCAAGTTAGAGAAATCATCCCAATTTTAGTTGGTAAAATAATAATGTTAGAAATCAATAGAATGTTGGTCAAAATAATTAAGGAGCAAATTCAAATAATTAAAATTATGATAATAACAATACCAAACCAGCTTATACTTCTAGATTTAATCAAGGTAATTAGTATGGAACCAGAACCACACTACTAGAAGATGTGGTCTTGTTTGGGAACTCAATTATAAAACCAAGTTGCTTCAATTAAAAATATATAAACTTAATTAAGTCAGCTTACAATTTCTATGAGTAACAAGCCCATAAGATCTTTACTTAGTAACACTGAAGTTAATCCTATGAAGAAGGAAAGAGATATTAATGGGACCCAATTAAAGAGTAGCAAACATTCGCCTTAGCCAAATGGAAAATCAAATCAAGTATGGATAAAGACTATAAACTTAACGCTTCTTGGGAGGCAAACCAACCTTAGGTCTAGTCAATTATCCAGTATGGCTGAAGACTCTAAACTTAGCTCTTATAGGAGGTAGCCCTTGTATGTGTTATGTTGGTACTCATTATGTTATGAATGTTAGGTCATATTTGTGTCCAACATATATTTTATGCACCTTTTATAATTCTTATAAAAGCATATTTCTGTAGTGTTTTTTTATGTGTTTATTTACATGTTAAAAAATTCCCTTCATGCTTAAATTGTTATTGTCCTCCAATTACTTTTATATTTTGATTTTTTTATTTAACCCTTATAAAAATAATAGATAAAAATAAAATAAAATTAGGGTAACAATAAAACCCAAGATCCTAGTTTGAAAGAACTTTATTTATACTTCATAGGTTGGAAAAACTTATACTTAACTCATTTATTCATTTAAGTTATTATCCTAATTTGAATTTATAAGCTATACCTTTATGAAATTAACTTTAGAAATTGAAAGATGAGTAATTAGTATTAAAAATTAGATATGAGTAAATTAAAAATGGAAATCATAGCTAACTTGAAGATGGAATTAGTAATCTCATCAAGTCCTTACAATAAAATCATTAAGATTATATGAAGGTCTAAAATAGAAGCTAATATTCAAAATTATTAATTATGAAATCCATAAAAGAAAAAGAAAAAGAATTATAAAATAATTCTCAAAAGAAAAGAGAAAGAAAAAGATGAGTACATTCAAAAATTAGTATCAGTGAAAGCTTATGATTGGAAATACAATCTTATACATAAATGAAAAAGGATAAGTTGGGAGAGTTAATACAAGGCATACTGAAGTAGTGAAAGTATAATTTTAATTGCCATAATATCTAATCATTAAAACTTAATTATTCACTTCAATAATTAAAAGTTAAAGATTAAATGTATAACTTATAATTTCAAATTAAGTTGTAACTAGAATGATTAGTTAGTCTAACTATTAGTATTTTTTAAAACTAGAAGTATAGCCTTGTTCATTTTTACTAATTCTAGATAGTATTGTATTACATCCATTCCACCGAGCGGATTCTAGAGAGAGAAGCTCCCACGTCAGATTCTACAGAGAGAAAGTTTGAATCTTTATTTTTTCACAGGTTTCATGCCTCCGACCATGGCGGCTTCAGCAGTCCACCGTCGGATCCACCGGATCTCCATCCTCTAGCGTATCATCAGATATCTTCTGATAGATCATGCTCTCCTTCTTCCTTGCATTATTTAATTCCCCGTAAAGAAGATCATTCGACTTCAAGATTGGATTTAAAACCTTTGACTATAAGAGAAGGCTCTGATTCTCTCACTCATTAGATTAAACCTATTCCTACTTCTGAAGGAAAGGGTAAGGATTTGATTGATTCTTCGGCCTCTGTCTTTGGTAGTTTGGATCAAAGTTTCCCTAGTGTTGTCACTGTTTTGCTTGGGTTAACCTTTGGTTCTTTGGAACATGATGTTATTGATTCTTCACATTCGTTAGCTAAAGATAATAAGAAGTTTGGCAACACCGATGAATCTAACAATCCTTCTTGCTCTTTTGTTGATCCTAATAATACTGTTTTATCGGGTGCCAAAATAGTTGATGTGTTTAGCAACCAGAAGGATTCCTTTCTCAATGCCTGGAAAAAACCTCATCATATCAAAATTAATTTTATGTGAATTCCAGCGTTATGTCCTCTGACGGAGTGGCAGTTAAGCTGAACACCGATTTAAGAAAGCAATAACTCTCAAATCCTCTCCAACTCTATTGTGCTGAAGGTCTTGGGTAAGAGTATCCCTTTTTCAATTTGCAGCACTGAGTTATGCAAGCAATGAAATAGATTCGGTAATTTTCAGCTAACCTATTTGGGACTGAATTGGATTCTTTACTCGTTTAAGTCTTCCAAAACTATGGAGGAATTCCTTTGTGGAGGGCCATGATACATTGGTGGTCATATTGTCGGATTGGACAAATGGTGGCCTTCCTTTTCTCCTTCAACCTTAAAAGGTTTAACTGCACCAGTTTGGATTCATTTCCCACAACTGCCCTTGCATTGTTGGGATGAGATCAACATTGCTATGATTGCATCAAGAATTGGAACACCCATGTACTTCGACGGTAATTCCTTTAGCTGGAGAAAGAAGGAATTTGCGTGTATCTGTGTTCGCATTAATCTTGAATCCAAGCTTCCTTCGGGTGTCTGGGTTGATGGTTTGGGAGGTAGATTCTTCCAGAAAGTAGAATATGAGAAATTATCTTCATTCTGCTTTAACTATGCTAAAATCAGGCACCTGAAACAGGCTTGTCCAGAACTACGGAAGGCCAAGCCTAATGATCCCAGTCGTGAATTGAATGACAGAGATATTCATGATTCTCCGCAACACCATGACAATTACGGGTCTTGGATGCATATAAAATTCAAAAAGAGACCAAAGCAAACTAGGAGTCAATTGGATTCCTGGAAGAAGGAAATCAAAGAGCCATAAACTCATTTTACTGTTAGTGGTAACATTCTAGATAGTTCTACTTAGAAATCGAATGATGTTACTTTGGTTGAGGATAAATCTTTAAACAACATTCAACATATGAAGGTTATTCGAGATGAAGAAATTATCTTGTCCAATAGCTTTGAAATTCTTGATAATGCCTCTAATCAGTTGAAAGATGGTATTTCACCTGGAATCTCCACTGGATCTGTGATACTTATCACCTCCCATAAGGTTAGTGCTACTATACCTGAGGAAACAACTACTGAGAAGTGTCCAACTGCCAATGTATGTTCTTATGTTCCTCCCAAAATTTTAGTTACTGACTCCAACACTTTTGATCCTACTTATCCTTCACTGGTTAATGGAAAATCAATTGAAATCTCTACTAATGCCATTCACAATGATTGTACTGCTTGTGCTGGTGACAAACAAGACTGTTCTGGTGGTAATCATCTTGTTATATCAAATTTTCCTACTGATTTACCATTGGCTAGTACAACTGATTTAAGTTCTGCCAAGCTTAAATCAAAGCCTCAATTAAATTTTTTTTGTCCAATTGAACCGTTGTCCAGAAAAAGGAAAGTTGAAGGTAAAGGAAAAAAAAAAGGCAGGGAATTCTCCCCTTCAGTTAATTAATGTCTTCGTTAGTTTTCTAGAATTGTAGAGGGGTCAAGAAGAAGGAGACCTCCCTCTACCTCAAGGAAGTAGTTAAATATAACTCTATTTTTTTGTGGGCCTTGCTGAGACTATGTTGGCCTTTATCAATAAGATTGATGTCAATAGAATTATTGGCAGCAATTGGGATTATTTTTATCAGCCTGTGGCAGGCACTGCTGGAGGAATTTTGATAATGTGGAATTGCAATTTGGCAAGCTTCACCGTGATTGATCATTCCCATCAATTTGTTTTTGGAACTTTGATCACTCCCAATAAAGGTCTTTGGAATGTGGCCATGGTCTATGGCCATAAGGAACTTCAAATCATGAGAGAGCTTTGGAGCCGCCTTGATAATCTTGTGAAGGACGATGTTCCTACAATCGTGGGAGGAGGCTTTAATTATCTTCTTTCCAAAGATGATAAGAGAGGTGGCAAGCGGTTTCATTTGACCAAAGGATCTAAGGAGATGAGGTTATTTATGGCTAACCAAGATCTTCATGATTTTGGAGTAATTGGTCCTAAATATACTTGGTGCAATAGCAAACAAGGAAACAGTAGAATTTGAGAATGTTTAGATCGCTGCTTGCTGAATTCTTCGGCTCTTCAGCTTGTCCCGTCAGTTTTGGTTAGGCACCTTGCTAGGATTGCCTCTGACAATTGTCCTATTGCTTTTAAGCTTGACGATTCTAGGCATTCTCAATCCAAAGTCTTCAAATTTGAGGATACCTGGAAATCTTGTTCAGCTACGTGGAGAATTGTAGCTAATGCATGGAATAAGCATGATTACGGTGATGAGGATGAAGTTCTTAACAGAAATATCAAGAGAACATTGAAAGCACTTTTTTCTGGCAAAAGAATAAATGCAAAAATCTGATTTTACTGAAGGAGGATCTGAAGAATGACGTTCTTAAATTACAATTGCAAGAAGAAGAAGATGGTGGTCTCAGTGATACTAATATTAAACTGCTGCGAAGTAAGGTAAGGGAACTCAATGTTACCTTACTTAGACTATCAATGTGGTGGAATCAACGTGCTAAGGCGAACTGGAATGAAGAGGGGGACACCAACTCAAGGTTTTATCATGCCTATGCTACGGCTAGGAAGAACTGCAAATTGATTAGACAAATCAAGGATGAGAATGATAAAGTTGCAGATGAAACTGACAAAATTGAGTCAATTTTATTAAAGTTTTTTGAAGACAAATGGAAATTCCGTAATTGTAATAAACTGAATTGGCCTTCTGTTGATCAAAATCAGTTGCTTAATGCAGCTGACAGGTATTACTTGATGCAGAATTTACCGAATTAGAATTTTCTGATGCTTTCTTCCAGCAAGGGTCTAACAAATCTCCGGGCTTAGATGGTTCTACATCTTCATTCTTCAAATTCTATTGGGACATAGTCAAAGATGCTACTTGGAATGCTATCAAAAAGTTTTTCATTATTGGACATATGAATGGCAATTGGAAAGATACCTTGATTGTTCTCATCCCTAAGATCAACACTCCAATAATTCCTTCCAATTTTCGTCCAATTAGTCTTTGTCAAACTATTTACAAAATTGCAACTACTACGCTTGTTAACAGACTTAAGAGTTGTATTCCAAAGCTTATCTCAGAGGAGCAAGCATCATACGTTCCAAGTAGATCTATGTCTGATCATTTCCTCCTTGCTTTAGAAATCTTTAACAAATTCAGAATTTCAAAAATTAAAAAGGGTCTTATGGCTCTCAAGCTTGACATGGCCCAAGCCTTTGATAGCATGTGCTGGGAGACATTGAAACATGTTCTTGCTTGGTTTGGGTTCCCCGAGAAGTTCTCATTCCTAATTTTGGAATGTGTCACCAATGTGCGATTCTCTATACTACTGAATGGAAAAGGTTCTAGATGGATTGAAGCTAAGAGTGGCTTTAGGCAAGGCTGTCCTATGTCGACATACCTTTTTATCTTGTGCTCACAGCTTCTTTCCAATGTCATTAAGCTAAGAGGGCATCAATTAGGCATCCAAACTTCTTCTAGAGCTCCTAGAATTACTCACTTACTCTATGCTGACGATTTGTTACTGTTTGGATCAGCTTCCTCCTCTCAACTTCGTGGAATGATGAATTTAATTAGGGATTATTGCGGATGGACAGGGCAATGTTTAAATTAGGCCAAGTCTAAAATTATCTTTGGTAAATCTGTTAGACCTTCTACTAAATGGAGAATTGGAACTAAATATGGCTTCAAAATTGTCAATGAGTTTCAATATTTGGGCACCAAAATTGCATTGAGGAGGTTGGTTAAGAACGGCTTTCAATTCGTGATTGATCACGCCTTGGAGAAGCTCAATGCTTGGGGTACTAGATTCTTATCACTTGCGGGCAGATTGATACTTGCTAAGACTTCATTGCTTTCTCTGCCAACGTTTATTTCAGCTCATTCATTGATCCCTAAGAGGATTCTTTACGAGTTTGATCGAATTTGTAGAGACTTTATCTGGCATCATAATTTTGGCAATAAAGGTCTTCATTACATTGCTTGTGAAGATTTATGCTTACCAAGAGATAGTGGTGGATTGGGTATGTATTCAACAGTCAAAAGAGTTGGTCCCCTTGAAGCTCGGCTAGCCAAGAGGCTGCTCCAGAATCCCTCCTCATTACTTTATAGATGTCTGGCTGCCAGGAATGGTTCTGCCATTTGGAGAGGCAAGTTCAAGCAAGGTCAATCTTCTCCTCGATACATCATTTCTGATGGTGTGGCTTTTCTTAAACCTATTGTTAAGTGGAAATTATGAATGGAGCTAATATTAGTGTCATGAGTGACATTTGGTTACTTGATAGATGCTTCAACAAATGGCCTATGCCGGCCCATTGCATTGGTCTTGAAAACATGAAGTTATAGAACTTCATTCATGAAGATGGCAACTAGAACTTACTGGAACTCAATCTTTATTTTAACATGGATTTGGTTAATCTAATTGTTCAACAATGCGTTATACAAGAGGGTGATGAAGATCAAATGGAGCTTCTTTATCAACATTCTGGGAAATCAATTACTTCTTTAGCTTATGCAGAAACTATCAAAAGTTGTAAATCTTTTGATAACTGGCTTTAGAAGCTGAAGCTAAAACCAAGAGTTGAGCTCATTTGGTGGAGATTAAGTAGGTTTTCCATTCCTACTAATGAGTTTTTGAAATTTAGAAAGCTGGGCAATAATGACCTCTGTGCTAGTGGTTGTCTAGTTGTTGAGAATTGTGCTCATGTTATAGTGCATTGCAAGTCCCTCATTGAGATTATAGGTATGTTGAGAACTTGGGGTTTTAACATTCCCTTGTACAGTTCTCTTACGGAATGTCTTCAACAGCTCAGACTTCTTTCTATTGCTAAGTTGGACATTGTCAAGATCTATTTCACTGCTATTTTTTCTCCTGGAAATGTAGAAATGATGTGAAGCACGGTAATCCCATACTTCCAATTTCAGTAATTGCTGCCAACATTTTAGTCATTGCTACCAATAAGTATTCAATGCTAGTTAATTGGAATGCTATTCTCCTTAGGGAGTCCAAAACTTCATGGCATCCCCCACCACTGGGTTAGATAAAAATCAACGTTGATGCATCATTATTGGATTCTAATTCAGCGAGCATTGGGGGTGTGGTCCGTGACTCTAAGGGCAGTTTACTTCTAGCTTTTGGTAAGCAAACTCTCCATTGGGATATTAACCAACTTGAGTTAGAAGCAGTTTATTCTTTGAAAGACTTCATCCATGATTGGATGTTTGATTGTAAAGGGTTAATAATAGAGGGAGCTAACTACAATGTTATCAAGAATATCCATGACTTCTTGATGAAATCAAAGGTTATAAACTAGATTATCACAATTGCTCGTTTAAGTTTGCAATGATAGATTATTGCAGTTTTGTTTGATGATGGCTTATACATTGTTTGATGATGGCTTTTTTGTCCTTGGTTGGTTTTGTCCTTAAAGTTAGATCAGTTTGTTGCAATGATATATTTTTATGTAGGATACTAGTTTTGATAAATGATGCGTCGGCTTCGGCTCAGACGGAATCTCCATGGCCTCCTGGCAACGTCCTATGTAAGGAAACTAGGTTTTCCAATCGAGAACAAAAATAGGGTTTTGGAGGGTGGCAGAGCAAATGGGGTTGAACACCCCTCAGCCGCCAAGCAGCAGTTCGGTCTAAGCAAGCAGGGGCGACTAGGGGGAGCTTAGTTTCTTAAAAATATAATGAAAAAAATTAAATAAAATTAAAAATAATAATAACAAGCATGAGCTAAGATCTTTCCACACCCTCAGCGCGCTCGGGTCGCTAAAGCTAAGCTCTTTCGAAACCCTCAGCGAGCTCGTGTCGGTGTAGGCGTGTAGCTTAGCCCTTCCGTCTCTCGCTCAGCCCTCCCTGTGTGTTTACCACACAAGTATTTTGTTAACTTTCCTACCGGCAATTTTCAATTTTTTTGGTAACAGAAAAAAGAACAATAAAATATAAATTATATATAACTAAAAATAGAGTTATCGATGATAACCAAAATTCAAAAAGTATATCTACTATTTCTTCAATTGAAAAAATATATCTAAAAATTTCATCCGAATTAAAACACTCCTAAAATTCGAATAGATACTCTATTTTTTGTAAGCGGTCATTTGTTCAAAAAATTAATCAATCATTTTTATTCTCGGCACCTTCTTTTCATCTGCTAATTCATATTCACAATTGATATACATACGATAATGTTTCAATGAACCAAGGGTAATTATGCTCCAATTGATGGCAATCTCTTGAACATTTTAATCTCCAAGTAATAAAAAACTCACCAAAGAGTTATCTACAAACATTATTTGAATAATTTTAACACCAATATTGATGTTTAGTATCACTAAAATCAACAACAAACGTTGATATCAAGTTGAAATTTAAAGTCCATAAATTGAACTGCTTCTTGGCGGCTGAGGGGTAATTTGCTCTGCCACCCTCCAAAACCCTATTTTTGTTCTCGATTGGAAAACCTAGTTTCCTTACATAGGACGTTGCCAGGAGGCCATGGAGATTTTGGGTGCTTTAAATTTATCAAAACTAGTTTCTTCTTCTATATTTGAGACAATTGTTTGTATCATTGGTTGCAAGTGTTGAAGAAATGATTTCATTATACTTAAATCTCTAGCTTTTTTCGGTCACCATGTTGTCTAGCACAAGTATATGGTGACTTGTTCTATCTCTTTTCAGGAGATTGTTTTGCTATTCTCTTATTTTTATCAATTGCTCGTTTAAGTTAGCTTATATATATGTGTATGTGGAAGAGACGTATATGGACTATAATGTGTAGGAAGCAAATGTAAGTTAATGTGCTAAGCAAAGCCCAAATTAAGAACAGAAAAGGGTCATTAGTCTTTAGATAGAAAATCTGTATATAAATAAGTTTTTTTTTTTAATTTGTTATTTTTTTGGAAAAGTGAAATTTCATTTCATCAAAAAAATAGGTACAAAATCCTTAGAATGGACCAAAATTTTCTAATGCTCAAAGAGCTACATAAAAATAAATAAAATAAACCTAATGAGTAATTATCCCATACTAGATTACAATTAAAAGAAAAATCAAAAGGCTTGCTAGTGGTCAGACCCAAAAAATGAATTGATAATCTATTAGCTTGAGGGAAAACATCCCGCAAAATTGAATACAATTGAGGAAACATAAAGGAAAGTCTTAGAGGCCAAATAGCAATACGTAGCAAATTAATCCATGAAGGAAAAACAATAATCAAAAGAAATTCGACAACAGCCTAACACTGCTATGAATGGCAGATAAGAAATTACAAAGGAAGTCAAAATGAAAAACAAGTAATCCCAAAATAAAAACAATCCAATTTAGAAGCCTCCAAAATTAGGAAGTGGAAAATGACAGCCATCAATCACAACTTGGATACCTCACATAATCAAGAGAACATAAAAAAAAAAGATTTATAAAGCATGCATATGCTAATAAAAAACCATAACTAAAGCCTATAAATATAACCCCATGTCACATAGAACATGAAACTAAAATAGGATAAGAAAAGTGAAGAAAATTAACCACAAAAGCACTTAACCAAATAAGTACTAATGGAAATAAATTTTTGGAACTAATATGGGTAAACATAGAGATCTCCTAATGAGATATCAATTGCACCACTTATAAAATCATCCAAACTAACAAAATAGGAGAATAAAAGAACATGCAGAGGAGATACATTAAGAAGTAAATCAATGCATACAATCCATATATAATATTAAAGCAGAAAAAACCCACCCAAATAAGAATGCTCACAAAATCAAAACAAATCAAGAGTGACCACAAAAAATAAAATAAAATAAGGAGAAAATTTAGAGAAGAAACCAACCTATACAAATTGATAAATATAAAGAGAGAAAATGTAAATGAAACTACAAAGATTAGTATGAAAAACATTTTAATTCCTAGAAATAGGAACAACCAAAGAAAATAGGACATAAAAAATTAAAGACCATCCTAAATAGCTGGGCTTATAGTCCAAATTTGAACTAAGAGAAAGCTAATTAGGTGTTGATCAACTAATCTTTCACATTTGCATGTTTTTTGATGTAAGATGTTCATTCATAATAATGGTAAAACTCCTTTTGGAAAATTTGATTCAAAATCTGATGAAAGAATTTTTCATGAATATTCTAATGTCAGAAAATTCTATAGGGTTTTTAAAAAGAGAACTTTGGTAGATGCGGAGACCACACATATAGCTTTTAATGAATCTGGTATTTTGAAAGAGCCATGGTTGGAGGAAGAACATATTAAAGATATCTCCCAAAGAATTGAAAAGACAAATTTGGAAGAGAATGTCAGAACAGAAATCATTTCGCCTAGAGAACAGAAATTTTCTAAGAGTCACCCTAAAGAAATAATTTTAAGTGAACCAAGTGAGGGTGTTAGAACAAGATATAGTCTTAGAAATGAAGTGAACCATTCTTCCTTTATATCAATAATTAAACCCACTAATATAAGTCATGCACTTTCTGACAAATTTTGGGTTTTGACAAAGTAAGAAGAATTGAATCAATTTGTTAGAAATGTTTTTTGGGAATTGATTCTTAAAGATTATATAATATGTAAGAACAAAAGGTAAAGAAGAATTAGAATGGACTCTGCACTATCCATAGCCTCGAGAGAGGCAGTATTCATCAAGTTCAACGAGAGTCTTCTTTTTAGTGAATAAAAGATTGATTCTTTCTCGATCCTCAGAAACAAAGTGGATTTCGATGAGATTTGTTGAATTCTATTTGGGTTTCTGAGGAGGTGTGCGTGCTCCCCCCCCCCCCCAATTTCGGTGCTAGGGTGGTGAAAGTCTTGCCGAATTGATTCGATGTCGACGACGATGGAGGATCGCAGGTGGATCGCGGGAGGTGTACGTGCTGCTCCCCGATTCATAAGTGAGATTTGCCGCACGATCCACCAGCGGTCCGACCATCGCCATCGTCAACGAATCAATTCGGTAAGACTTCCACCGCCGCCCAGATCGAATCATTGGGGGGGGGGGGGAACGCACACCTCCAGAGAAACCTTAAAAGAATCTTAAAAATCTCACTAGTACCCACTTTGTTTCCATGGATCGAGAAAGAATTGATCTTTTATTCACTGGAAAGAAGTTTCTTGTTGAACTTGCCAAATACAGCCTCTCTCACGACTGTGGTTAGTGCATAGTCTATTATAATTCTTCTTTACCTTTTGTTCTTACATATTATATAACCTTTAAGAATCAATTCTGAAATATC